CCGATCTGGCTAATCTACATGCCTCCGTCGACGGAGGCATGGAGTCTGGACACAGCCATTGGGCCAAAGACCAGTGGGAATATTGCCTGAGTGAGGACAGCAGAACCTGGAATGTTCTGAATACTAAATATAAAATACTAGAAGATATACCCAGCATTGCTTAGGTCCTTAACTCAAATACGTTTTGTTTGTCTTCGTTTCAATCATGGTTCTGGGGGGCGGGGTTGGAGATAAAGGGTTCAGTGTGAAGACTGCCCCAGGGAGAGAGGACAACCCCAGACCTCTCTCACTGCAGCAGCTTAGGGTGAGGTGAGTTCTGAATACTAAATATAAAATACTAGAAGATATACCCAGCATTGCTTAGGTCCTTAACTCAAATACGTTTTGTTTGTCTTCGTTTCAATCATGGTTCTGGGGGGCGGGGTTGGAGATAAAGGGTTCAGTGTGAAGACTGCCCCAGGGAGAGAGGACAACCCCAGACCTCTCTCACTGCAGCAGCTTAGGGTGAGGTGAGAAGCACCTCTCCAGGGTCCCTGCAGTGGACAAACCCTGGGACAGGGTGCATGTCCCCTGGCTTGGGGACAGACAGACAGACACAAACAGACCAACTCTCTCAAATATATAGCAGATATCTGTCCCTTTCTCCACCCCTGCCCCCTGCTGCCCCAATGGGGTTATCACTGTCCCAGTCTCCATCCTGGCCCCTTGCTGCCCCCCTCTGATCATTATACAGTATAAGTGACCCTGAGACCAGAGCCCTCCCTTATGAGAAACAATCGCATTCCAGGCACATCCCATTGTCCTGGTGCTTTATGACCCTCAGTTGGTTCCAAAATACTCATAAAAGTGTTTTTAGCTTCATCATCTTCTCTTAAGCTTAATAAAAGATGGGAGGAAAAACACATGCAGCATTTCCTGCCTCTGTTAATGTGCCTTTAGCCCCAGGAACAAGTACAATAGGTTCTAATCCCAGAGAAAGCTCTTTGTCTCATTAAGGACAGATGTTATCCCTGGAGCAGTTCTCCTTGGCAAAGTTTATTGGTGAGACAAAGTGCTGTAGTGACAAAGTGCACCGTGAGCATGCTCTGCTTCCTGGCTCTGATTTACCACTTCACCAGGTGCCTTGTTTCTCTGCTGCACACTGCCCAGGCCGTCTGTGCCTGGCACTTACATTTGGGATTGCTGCAGGACTTGAATGGCATTCTGGGCTGACAAGTTCAGCTTGGCTTTATTCATCCAGCCAGTCAGGTCGTAACGAACGGGGTCTTTGCCCAGCTGGTGGAAGATCTCACACTGCAGCATCTGCTCACATTTGCGAAGGACGCCTTCCTCTGGAATATCGATACACCAACAAACAGAGGTTATTCAAGGTCAGTGGGGTGAAGTTAGCAAAGTTGCCTAGACAGGAAGCTATAATCCAGTTAACAGGAACGGGGCTGTGCCCATTAGCACAAATACGGGATAGCCCAATATAAGAAGATACCCTCGGGACGAGTGGCCCTGATCTAGCAGCATTCCTTCTGGCTAATCTCTTTGGTTGCACCTCCTTTATGTGCCATAAGCTGTACCTGTCCAAGAAAAGCAGGTGCAGAGACCATCTCTGCAGGATGTACATTCACACGCTGACCATGGAATGGAAACTTTGTCCTGCCCCCTGGCCCAGCAGTGACACTAGCCAGACTGGCAAAGTGCAGTGTCATATGGATGCACAATTACAAGTAACATACTTCAATAGACACCACATTGGCCTATCACAGGGTGCAATTCTGCTGCCTTCTGGCAAACAACAGAGCTATAAAAGCAGCCTGGAAGAACTCAGCCATTCTCCTTCCCAGCATGCTGCTGCTTTTCCTTCGGGCATAGCATGCCAGGAACTGTCCCTGTTGTCCTTGTGGCCCTGATCAAGCCAACAGACAGGAAGGTAGAGATGCCACAGTCTCAGGTTTGTTGCCTGGACAGACGCCAGACTCCTGTCTATTTATAAACGCTGTATCCTGCACATTTACATATAAGGCCATTATGAGGGGTCATTGGGGTTAGCAGCAGTTCATTAAGCCTTGCATACTGCAGAGATGACGGTGTCTATGGGCCAGCTCCTCACTCATGTGAGTCAGCCCAGCTCTTCCAACTTTAATGTCCACACACACCAGTGGAAGCTCTGGCTCTATAGATTTAAGTTTGCTTCCTGGGTGTTAAGTTATTTTGGAGTGAGGCCTGAAATACTACTGAGAGTAAGAACTTCTTTGTCCCCCTTTCAGAGGTGCTGTCAGAGGACCAGCTAACCTATGGAACTACTTTTTTGGATGGTAAAAAGTCTCAGAGGGGGAGTCGTGTTCGTCTGCAACTTTAAAAACAATGAGTAGTCCGGTGGCACCTTGGAGACTAACAAATGTATTAACTCAATAGCTTTCGTGGGTAAAGCTCATCTGATGAAGTGGGTTTTACCCAAGAGAACTCCTGATCCTAAATATCTTGATCCCATATATATTTTTGTTAGTCTCTAATGTGCTTGCTATTTTCTTGGAGCTGTCGGTATTTGCCACAAACTCTTCTACCCTCATTGACCTGGGGAGTTTTACAAGATGAGAATTTGGGGACATTTTCAGTCTAGTCTGGTTTAGCACGGCTGGACTGTCTCACACTGCATGACTGTCATGTTAGATGGGTGACTACTGATGTCCTGAACACTACCCAGAAATCATTTGGATACTAGGTCTGAAACTGGCTTTCCTTTAGCTGCACCATCCCTTGGACACAGACCTTAGTCATTTTATTTGACTGCTCCAGCTGCCCTTGAAGCAAATAGCAAAGCATCCACAGATGAGAATAAATGCACTTGGATGGCACTGTACACAAAATTTTATCTCCAGTTGCATGGCTGAGGATTTATTCAATGCAAAAGCAAATACTGTACATGCTTCATAACCAGGAGTTCCCATTAAAGCCAAGCCATTCTAGCCCCTATCCACTGGAGAGCACCAGGAATCACACAGCTGGCTGGCAAGCAGGCTGACCACAGCGATAGAGAGTCTTGGCTCCCATGTATGGAGGAGATGTTAGGCTAGCCCAGGGGTGGGCAATAAGTTTTAATGGGGAACCACTCCAAGAATTTGGAAAGCGGTCGAGGGCTGCACTCTTCCATGCTATTAACAGGGGATACACAGGGTCTGGGATGCAAGTTGGGTACAGAAGGGATTTTGGAGTAAGGGATTAGGTGCAGGAGGAGGTGTGGGGTCTGGGAGTTTGGGTGAAGGAGGCACTTATGACTTGGGGCACAAAACTAGGGTGCAGGAGGAGATGCAGGGGTTTGGGTTGTGACCTGGGGCAGAGGATTGGGGTACAGGATCTGGGAGGGGATATCAGTTCAGGAGGTAGGTTTTGAGTTATGTGGGGTGGCAGTGAGTTGGGGGGAGGAAGGGCCTTGGGTGCCACAGGCAGGCTGTAGCTGGGAGACTTACCTGGGTGACTCCCAGCCAGCAGCCCAGCAGGTTTCAGGGAGGCTCCCTACCTGCCCCACTCCTGCATAGGTTGCAAGGAATATGTGCATGTCTAAATAAGAGCCTGAGGGAAGGGATGCTTTACACTCTGCCTGTCCTTTAAACAGGCAACTTCCATAGGCCAGAAACTGGCCAATGGGATTGTGCTGGGGCAGGAACTGTGCAAGTAGTCTCTCCCCCTGCTCACAGTGGGTGGAACACAAATGGCCCGGCAGCTGCTTTTCTTAGTGGCATGTGAGGGAGGGGCAAGCAGGCAGCCTGCCTGAGATTCCTTTCTGCATTGGTGGGCTGGATCTGGTGGCTTGGCAGGTCGTATCCAGCCCATCATCTCTATTGTGCCTAGGCCTGGGCGAGGCAGCATAGTATTCAGAGGTCATATGTTGAGTCCCAAATGCTATCTCTGTTGCTTCATAGGCTTTCAGGACCACTTTACGGCCCCACAAAACTGCAAACCCCACCCCCAACATAAAACAGAGAGTTTCCACTCACGGAAGTTTGCTTTGCTAGTTCAGTAGGTCTATCGGCATTTCTGTGGTTCCCCCTATTACACCCTCCTTTGTAAATATTTGGACCTTTGGTTGCTGTTAATTGTAATCAGGAGCTGCAAAGGAAGCTAGATCAAACACAGCGAGAAGCCCCTACAGCACCTACTGGAGAAAGACTAGAATGAATGAACAAAGGCTCAGAGACCTCTGTTCCTCCCAGTGCTACCTTAAGGATACAATCTGGGTATGTCTACACTACAAAGTTAATTCGAACTAACAGCCGTTAGTTTGAATTAACTTTAATAGGGGCTACACATACAAACCGCTAGTTTGAATTTAATTCGAACTAGCGGAGCGCTTAATTCGAACTAGGTAAACCTTATTCTACGAGGACTATCGCCTAGTTTGAATTAAGTAGTTCGAATTAAGGGCTGTGTAGCCCCTTAATTTGAACTAGTGGGAGGCTAGCCCTTCCCAGCTTTCCCTGGTGGCCACTCTGGGCCAAACCAGGAAAACTCTTCTGCCCCCCTCCCAGCCCCAGAGCCCTTAAAGGGCCACAGACTGGCTACAGTGCTCAT